GCAAGGCAGTTAGTGAGGGTAAGAGACAGGAGCAGTGTCCTAGGAATAGCCAGGGTCATCAACAGTCGTGCAGCACGGTACAGAATCAGAAGGAAAGCCAAGGTCAGGAGCAGAGCCGAAGTCAGGAACCAGTATCAATCAGGAGATCAATCAGAGTCAGGTGAGGAACAAGCCAGGTCAGCAACAAGGGAATCACACAGGAACAAGCAGGACACGGGGGAGCTGAAGACCAGTCAGCACTCAGCACATGCAGAGGCACTTCTTAAATAGTCCGTCTGGTGCCAATCTTCACAGTGCGTGTGCGTGATCGTGCATTTCTGTGCACATGCACACGTCTATTCACCAGCCGTCTCACAGGAATTCCCTTACACTTACACCCTTGAAGGGTCTTCACCTGGGATGCACAGGTGTTCCATGCAGTCTACTTGATGTCATTTGGGATGCAGTGACTGCACAGACACAGCAGCTGCTCCCAATTTCACATCTGGGTGGGTCGAGTCAAATTGGGAGCAGTGCGTCCCAATTGTCATCAACAGGACTTCGTGCATGGGGATTCCCGGAACACCTGGCCATCCCTGTGCAGGTTAACATGATCCTCCGAGGGCATACACTTTAGTACACCTGGTGTAAATGAGGCAGTTTCTAAGGTAATAATGTTGCAATGTACAGTCAGGTCCATAAATATTGGGACATCAACACAATTCTAACATTTTTGGCTCTATACACCACCACAATGGATTTGACATGAAATGAACAAGATGTGCTTTAACTGCAGACTTTCAGCTTTAATTTGAGGGTCTTTACATCCAAATCAGGTGAACGGTGTAGGAATTACAACAGTTTGCATATGTGCCACCCACTTGTTAAGGGACCAAAAGTAATGGGACAGAATAATAATCATAAATCAAACTTTCACTTTTTAATACTTGGTTGCAAATCCTTTGCAGTCAATTACAGCCTGAAGTCTGGAATGCATAGACATCACCAGACGCTGGGTTTCATCCCTGGTGATGCTCTGCCAGGCCTCTACTGCAACTGTCTTCAGTTCCTGCTTGTTCTTGGGGCATTTGCCCTTCAGTTTTATCTTCAGCAAGTAAAATGAATGCTCAATTGGATTCAGGTCAGGTGATTGACTTGGCCATTGCATAACATTCCACTTCTTTCCCTTAAAAAACTCTTTGGTTACTTTTGCAGTATGCTTTGGGTCATTGTCCATCTGCACTGTGAAGCGGCGTCCAATGAGTTGTGAAGCATTTGGCTGAATATGAGCAGATAATATTGCCCGAAACACTTCAGAATTCATCCTGCTGCTTTTGTCAGCAGTCACATCATCAATAAATACAAGAGAACCAGTTCCATTGGCAGCCATACATGCCCACGCCATGACACTACCACCACCATGCTTCACTGATGAGGTGGTATGCTTAGGATCATAAGCAGTTCCTTTCCTTCTCCATACTCTTCTCTTCCCATCACTCTGGTACAAGTTGATCTTAGTCTCATCTGTCCATAGGATGTTGTTCCAGAACTGTGAAGGCTTTTTTACATGTCTTTTGGCAAACTCTAATCTGGCCTTCCTGTTTTTGAGGCTCATCAATGGTTTACATCTTGTGGTGGACCCTCTGTATTCACTCTGGTGAAGTCTTCTCTTGATAGTTGACTTTGACACACATACACCTACCTCCTGGAGAGTGTTCTTGATCTGGCCAACTGTTGTGAAGGGTGTTTTCTTCACCAGGGAAAGAACTCTTCGGTCATCCACCACAGTTGTTTTCCGTGGTCTTCCGGGTCTTTTGGTGTCGCTAAGCTCACAGGTGCATTTCTTCTTTTTAAGAATGTTCCAAACAGTTGTTTTGGCCATGCCTAATGTTTTTGCTATCTCTCTGATGGGTTTGTTTTGTTTTTTCAACCTAATGATGGCTTGCTTCACTGATAGTGACAGCTCTTTGGATCTCATCTTGAGAGTTGACAGCAACAGATTCCAAATGCAAATAGCACACTTGAAATTAACTCTGGACCTTTTATCTGCTCATTGTAGTTGGGATAATGAGGGAATAACACACACCTGGCCATAGAAGAGCTGAGAAACCAATTGACCCATTACTTTTGGTCCCTTAACAAGTGGGTGGCACATATGCAAACTGTTGTAATTCCTACACCGTTCACCTGATTTGGATGTAAATATCCTCACATTAAAGCTGTTAGTCTGCAGTTAAAGCACATCTTGTTTGTTTAATTTCAAATCCATTGTGGTGGTGTATAGAGCCAAAAATGTTAGAATTGTGTTGCTGTCCCAATATTTATGGGCCTGACTGTATGTATGTTGGTGCCTGCAATGTATGTATGTTGGTGCCTACAGGTGCCTTAGTCTACTTTTGTACAAGTGTGTTTCTGTGCAGCCCATTAGATTTGTATAAGATTTTCTAAACTGACAGTAAGATTCATTTGATTCCTATCGTTCACCTGTCAACTGCCAGAATCTGCCAGAAAGGGATTTTTACAAGTGAATGAAATAATATCTGGGTTAGCTCATATGATTTTCCCAAAGGTTTTTAGAATGAGAGTAAAATGATGAAGAAGAGGAAAGCTCAGCACATATTGTTAGATATATGAAAGTATTTCCCAAATAGTTTCAGAAATTCTAATGACAGCGAAAGAGGAGAGTGCAGGGAATTAGTTCAGGTGCCCATGCTTGTAGATAGATCAAAATTAGCCAGGCTGGTCCACCCAGTTTTCTAAATGTCATAGGAGAGAAAGCATAACGTGTTGGTGATGATGAAAGATGGAATTAGATAACAATGAATGCATTCATGTTACTAGAGATTCCAATTTTCTATATAGGAGGAGTGATTTTAAATTTGAATTACTTAGTTTTGTATTAAATAATATGTACAGTACACCTTTTAACACATTTAAGCATCTGTGTGTTTTGGTACCTGTACTGCAGTGTACGTGTGTTTGCAAGGGGTGATTTGCAAGGTGTGTTTGGTGGCCGTTTAAAATGAATGCACTGGGGTGCCAGAAGCTTCTCGTCTGTCTTTTGGTGCTCTGCAATGCATGTGTGTTGGCGTGTGTTTTTGAGGGTACATTGGTATAACATTCAAAATGAATGGCAACTCAACACAACAATCATGCATTACTATGCATTGTAGTAAAATGTGTTTTCTCAGATATGCAGGCCTTCAAATGTAAACTAAAACAAGTAAGAAACGGGTAAGACCCTGTCATCTTTTTTTTTTTTTTTTTTTTTTTTTTTTGCAATCCTATCCTGATTGGGGTGGTTTTCTTTCACTCCCTGACCCAAAGATGCAGCAGGAATTAAAAAAAAAAAAACTCTCCAAAGTAGGGGGAAATACTTTGTCATTTAGACAATGGTCACCAGAACAGATGTCCCCATTGAAAGATTTTCCCTCAGGCTAGGTTCACATATGTGTGGGTGGTACGGCTGCAGATCTGCATGAAAATCTGTGCAGACGTACCACCTGCACAGAGGAATGCGGACCCGCGGGCGGGTGCCATTAGTTCTAATGGCACGCCACCCGCACTGGAAAATGCAACCTTACTGGGAACCTAGCTGAGTTTTCAGAAGTGCAGAGACTTCTTCCCTGCGTGTCACGAGGCACAGGAGTCCATTCAAATGAATGGGCTCTCATGCCCCACAAAACGCGACCCGCACGGCCGCATATATGTGAACCAGGGGTCACTCCCTGTTCCTGTGACAACCCTGCAATTATGGATTTCCATTTTGAGTTGAACACCCAAGACAACATAGCTTGCGTGCAATGCAGCACACCCCAACACACTACCATGTCTGAAAAAATTGCTGAATGTAAATATATGGTGTGTCAGCAGGAATGGGCTGCCTTAATGCAATGCACATTAACACATGACACTGTGTGTGTTAAAATGCTTGTCCTTCACATAACACACAAAAACGGCAAAGTGTGAATGAGCCTTAAGGCCACATTCACACGAGGTGTATTTAAGCATACCACGGTGGAGGGCTGTGTTTACCTGCATGGGGATGCACAAGTGTTCCATGCATTCCAGTGCAGGCAGCCCCATTGATATCAGTTGGGATGCAGCAGCTGCACAGACAGCCACTGCTCCCAATCTGACATTTATGTGGTTACTTTTGGCCTGTGCAGCTGCTATGTCCCAATTGATAGCAATGGGGCTGCCTGCACAGGTGTGCAGGTAAACACGGCCTTCCACATGCCCAGTGTGAACAAGACCTAGCTGAAAAAGGTTTTGGTTTTACATACACTTTAATGTCACTTGAATGATATGAAGCTACGCACACTGTAATATTAGTCAGAAGGGAAACATGTTTATCTCAATTAAAGCAGCCAAACAAAACCCAATGTTCTAGTATGCATTAGAAAATTGAAGCTAATGCCAGTGTAATTGCTGTTAGAAACCTATTTTCTCCATTTATTGCTTCATGCATTCATTGTGTTCAGCTTTTTCAGCTTTTCAATTTAATAAAAAAAATGTACAACATGGCGTAGATGAAAAGTGGCACTTCAGTTAAAAAAAAATAGTTTGCAAGCAGGAAGATTTTTTTTTTTGCAGCAAAGACATACCAGGTTTCATCTGCAAAAAAATGTTTCTTACCTTCCTGCTTCCAAACTTCTCTACAGTGTACACTGAGCTGGGCATGCAGAAATCAGTATACACTAGTCGGTATGCCTCAGTGTTTGCATGATATAAATCTTATCCCACTAACCGAGATGGATGAACACGCTGAACCTCAAAATAACCTGGAGGCTAGCGAGGGAGCTTGCAGATGTCACCTCACTGAAGCAGAGGCACGTTTAGTTATGCCCTAAGCTCATGACAGCCTTGTCATTTTTCTTCTTAATTATCTTTTACATGTTTAACTATATTTGCACAATATTTAAAATGTGCCTAAGTATTTAGGAGTGTTTATTAACTATATTGCTGGAACTCTAACATTTTTCTCTTTGAATGTGACAAGTTTTTATGTTGTTCTGCAGTTGGGGGAGAGCCAGATGGAACTGGAAGAGCTGAGGCTTTCTTATCGGCAGCTGCAGGTGAAGATGGAAGAACTCAGAGAGGAAAAGAGTCTCCAAAATCTAAACAGCACAAGTACCTCACTGCTGTCAGAGATTGAGCAAAGTATAGAGGCCGAGGAACAGGAACAGGAGCGGGAACAGGTATATCCTTCATGCCTTCCAAAAGACATAAAATTTGAACTTTATTTTGAGGGCCACCTTTAGTCACATTTTGATTGGACAGTAACCCTGCCAGTTGGTGCACATATAGTAATGGCTAATGGCAGGATTTACCCTTTCATAGAAAACTTTAATGTGATCAGCTGACTTCTGACAATGATCATTACCGTCTGTAAATGTCCTAAGCAAATATACTTTATACTCTATATTAGACAGTTTATGCTTTTATACTGTCCTTTAGAACTGAACTTTAAAACATTTCTAGCTACAGATGCTGTTTGTCATATTTGGCCATACATACTATCTGTGTCCTAATCTCTTATATCTGTGTGCTGGTGTTTAAGAAAAAAGAAAGGATCAGCCAAAGCTTCATTACAGTATGTTCACTCAGACGTCTACCTTGTTGATACTGTGAATGTGTTTAGAAGTGTTATCTCTGTGATGGAAGCTTTGTCCTTGTCACTCACTGGAAACCTGATAGATAGAGCCGTCAGCAAAGCCTTATGATTGAAGGCATTCTCATAACAATATATGAAATATCTTGAGGATGGATCAGTGGGCAAATGGCGTAATACACTGTTGAAATACATGTATCTGAACAGTCTTACCTGCCAAAAGGTTTTTATTTTTGTTCAGCCAGCCTTGTGAATCAGGTTGCACATTGATGACGTCTTGGGAATCCAGTTAGCTTTACTAAGCAAGCAAGCAAGATACAGTACTGACTCCTGACCTTCCACCTGAGCCCCCTCATTGTAACTCACTTCACCATGAGCAGAGTTTAATCACAAAGATTTTTGCTCAGTACAGCTAACTGGACCTTCAAGATGTCATCAGTGTTCAGCTTGCCTCCTTTGAATTTGTGTGCAGCGTGGAGCAAGAGCAGGCTTTTGGGATTCAGCACCCAGATAGTATGCAGGATTCAGGAGGATATGGGCAGCTTTGGAGCAGTGAGGCATGCAGAGATAGTCTTGTGATCCAGACACACTTGCCATACCGCAAAGCCAGGTTAGCGAGCTTACGTTTCTACACTGCAGTTAAGCATTACAGCTTGATCACTGACTATGAGAATAGTTACACTGATAAGGCCATAACTTCACTTACCTTACTTTCTCACCTTTTAGTAAGCTCCTAGTGTTAGATTGACAGCCTACTACAAAGTAGTAGAACCTTCTTGCATCACAGTTCTTCTCCTACCTCTTCCTCTCTCAGCCTCAGACCTGCTGTCCAGGGATTACATAAAGTTAATATAAAGCCACCTATAAAAATATTTAACTCTAACTAGCATATTTAAAGATGGATTTACAGTGTATGTTTTTTAATTTTTTTACATTTTAGGAGGTGTTACACCTCTGTCAGGTTTTTATTGCTCGAACAAATGGCCCCAAACTACAACCAGCCCTTGCAGCAAGGAGAACACTGAAGGGCGGCACACAACCAAACCAAACAAAAAAACAAACAAAAATTCCCATCTCACTTACCAGCTAGCCTGCAGCAAAACCAAATGGACCCTTTCTAACAGTTCACATTTAAAAATAAGGGGTTTAGTTGCACACATTTGCAAATATATGTGTAAGCCGCAGTGCCCACATCTAGGCACCCCATTGAATTGCGGTCCTAACTCTATAATTTCGAGAGCCTCCTAAAATTGGAGCACATATATCAGTGGATAGATTAAAGGCAGACCTGCCTAGAGGGAGCCCATCCCTCAAAGTACAGGGATGCACTGGACACCCAGCAAGAGCGCAATGGCAGCTAAAGGTATCCAGTGCATCCCCACAGATTTTTCTTTTGTCTTTGTCTTTACTGGGAAGAGTCACCCTCGCTATTGGTCCTGGTGAGCACTGCCTCTGGTAAAGAATGTCATAGGAAATCCAAATTGTCACAGCAACAGGAGAAGAGGTTAGGGAAAATGTTCAATAGGGTAGACATGTTGTAGTGATATCTAACAGGAGAATGCCCCTCAATTTAGAGATATCTAAAGGTACCTGTGGAACAGGAAGGAAAAATAAAACTCCTCAATAGGACACAAACATAAAAAAACTGACAGGGGTTTTAACCATTCCTTAAACATTCTGTACAAGACACAGGAGTTGATTCTTGGCTCATGAGTTAAATGCCACTACCTTTAGGTGTTTGGACACTGGCAAAATCTTTGTGGGGAATAACCCTCCAGTGTACCTATATACAGTGGGGATCGAAAGTTTGGGCACCCCAGCTAAAAATTTGTATTAATGTGCATAAAGAAGCCATAGAAAGATGGAAAAATCTCCAAAAGGCATCAAATTACAGATTAGACATTCTTATAATATGTGTCAACAAAAGTTAGATTTTATTTCCATCATTTACACTTTCAGAATAACAGAAAACAAAAAAATGGCGTCTGCAAAAGTTTGGGCACCCTGCAGAATTTATAGCATGCACTGCCCCCTTTGCAAAGCTGAGACCTGCCAGTGTCATGGATTGTTCTCAATCATCGTCTGGGCAGACCAGGTTATGTCAATCTCAAAGGTTTTAAATGCCCAGACTCATCTGACATTGCCCCAACAATCAGCACCATGGGTTCTTCTAAGCAGTTGTCTAGAAAACTGAAACTGAAAATAGTTGACGCTCACAAAGCTGGAGAAGGCTATAAGAAGATAGCAAAGCGTTTTCAGATGTCAATATCCTCTGTTCGGAATGTAATTAAGAAATGGCAGTCATCGGGAACAGTGGAAGTTAAAGCAACATCTGGAAGACCAAGAAAAATATCAGACAGAACAGCTCGCAGGATTGTGAGAAAAACAATTCAAAACCCACGTTTGACTGCATGATCCCTCCAGAAAGATCTGGCAGACACAGGAGTTGTGGTACACTATTCCACTATAAAGAGATACTTGTACAAATATGGTCTTCATGGAAGAGTCATCAGAAGAAAACCTCTTCTATGTCCTCACCACAAAAATCATCGTTTGAACTTTGCAAATGAACATATAGACAAGCCTGATGCATTTTGGAAACAAGTTCTGTGGACCGATGAGGTTAAAATTGAACTTTTTGGCCGGAATGAGCAAAGGTACGTTTGGAGAAGAAGGGGCACAGAATTTAATGAAAAGAACCTCTGTCCAACTGTTAAGCATGGGGTTGGATCAATCATGCTTTGGGTTTGTGTTGCAGCCAGTGGCACAGGGAACATCTCATGAGTAGAATGAAAAATGGATTCAATAAAATTTCAGCAAATTTTGGATGGTAACTTGATGCCATCTGTGAAAAAGCTGAAGTTAAAGAGAGGATGGCTTCTACAAATGGATAATGATCCTAAACACACCTCGAAATCCACGGGGGATTACATCAAGAGGCGTAAACTGAAGGTTTTGCCATGGCCTTCACAATCTCCTGACCTCAACATAATTGAAAATCTATGGATAGACCTTAAAAGAGCAGTGGGTGACAGACAGCCCAGAAATCTCAAAGAACTGGAAGACTTTTGTAAGGAAGAATGGGCAAAGATACCTCAAACAAGAATTGAAAGACTCTTGGCTGGCTACAAAAAGCGTTTACAAGCTGTGATACTTGCCAAAGGGGGCAGTACAAGATATTAACTCTGCAGGGTGCCCAAATTTTTGCAGACGCCATTTTTTTGTTTTCTGTTATTATGAAAGTTTAAATGATGGAAATAAAATCTAACTTTTGTTGAAATATTATAAGAATGTCTAATCTGTAATTTGATGCCTTTTGGAGATTTTTTCCATCTTTCCTTGGCTTCTTTATGCACATTAATACAAATTTTTAGCTGGGGTGCCCAAACTTTTGATGCCCACTGTAACCTTGCCCACTTCTTGAGGCTGCAGTGTTTTGTTAGTGTCCTTGGGTGATTGACCCAATCTCTATTTTTTATCAGTTATCCTCCATTGCTCGACTGAAACTTCTTTTACGATCCAACCGCTTATTGCTTTATGGCTCATTAGCAGTGTCTATATCAGTTACCTTCAATGAACATCTTGGGAACCTTACCCAGACATTGTAACAGTAGGGTCAGCCTGTAAAGTTTGCTTCAAGCACTGGATCCTGCATGCGTTGCCTACCTTGGTACGTGATGAAATGAGTGCGTTAACTGCAAGATGCTATACATGTCGAGTCGTGGTCCATCCCTTTGGCAACCAAACCCTAAAGATTGTAATGGGCAAAGCCTGGATCTTGGATGGGATAAGGGACATTGACAAGGTAAGATAGGGTTTCTCTGTACCTTAAGGCCTGATTCACACTAATGCAATTTCAGATGCAACTTGAGTCACACAGAATTGCAAGGGAGCCACATTGTTTTCAATGGTGTCCTTTCACATCGATGTGACTCAGCATGGCTCCTGACTACACACTTCTGGTCACCATTTCCCTATTCTTTCCCTATTCTTGATCAAGCTGAGTGGGCCTTATATAATGAGAGGTTATTCCATCCTCCCCATGGAAGCGGGAGTTTAGGAAGAGACGGTCTGTTCCCACTGTGAAACCAGATATTCTTGAAGTAATCAATCTATCGTTTCTATTTATGGAATCCTTTAAGGATTCGGTTTATAGGCACCTAGGAGACTCTTTTGAAGTCCCCCTCGCCTTGGTAGACTCAGTTCTGCAACCAGCTATTGCCATCTTGTTAGTTACCCAGGCCATGGCAAACTGGACTGGAGAAATCAACAGTGAACTTTCTCCGATTTATAGATGTTCCACAACTCTTGCCCTCGGCAGTGCCATGGAGAATGTGATCCGTCAGATATCCAGAATGTCTTTACTTTCTCAGCATGTGTGCAGAATCTTAAGGTTTAAAGCCTGGTTCTGCCATCCTGAAAAGTGGCTTTTGTGCATATCTTTCCTAGGGGAAAAACCTCTTTGGAAGTTCCCTTGGGGCAGCTATTTGTGGAGGGGGGTTCCTACCCCGCTATCCTCAATCATGTTTCCCTATTCTATGGGTCTCCCATACCGTATGTATCTGACCTGTTTGTCCCTCAGGGAATCATCATCTATTGCAGGTCCTTCACCTCATGGCATCACCACTTAGCCCACTGGACCTGCTCAAAGACTTCTTTGCATTAAAAGGTGCCTCCATCAATTCTTTGCATTAAAAGGTGCCTCCAGCAATTGTTAACAGAGGTAGACCTCTGTTAACAATTGCTCTACATTTGTCAAGGTCCTTCAGGGAGGTAATCAAAGAATCTCTTTTGCTGTCCTCAGTCTTATAATTATATTCCCTTCAGCACAATACTTGTGTATTGTCTATCACTGAACATGAACATCATGAATATTCATGAACATGCTGCAATTGGCTCCTGTCAGTTGCATCTCCAGTTCCTACTGGCAGGATCCTTCGGGACAGCCAGTGCTCTGCTTCTCCACTCAGAGTCATTGGAAGTCTACTCCTCACTACAGGCAGAGGTTTGCTCCATTACATGAGCTCCCTACTCTACACAGTCCTCCCTTGCCTACAATCCTCAGACTCTGCTCTGAGTTTTGCTATGCCCTCCCATCAGATTTACCTGTTTTACGAGCTGGTAAATCCTGCTCTCACCTCCTCAAATATAACTGGCCTTTGCACTGGCTGACTTCTTTCCTGGTACTGGAAAATGTCACAGGCCCCTGTTCTCAGTACCTCCTTATGTGCTTGCTTCCTCTCCACATGTGGTCTGTAGGTACTTCAGCACTTGCCTGCCCATCTCACTATACATCTTTAATTATGTGACTACTCTACAGAATCTTGTCTAGAGATCTTCCAGCATCTCTAATTTCTTGATATTCACCAGTTAAGCACATTCCAACCTCCGAGTCTCTGGAGCATGCAGATTGTTCTCTCTACACTTTGACATCTGTCATGTGAGATAGTTCTCACCTAGCATGTCAAAAAGTCACCCCATCCTTGGACATGTTCCTATTTCTCACACTGCAATTTCTACCTTTTCAAATCACAAAACACCTAGGTTAGGCCTTTATATCCTCTATCTAACATCTTGTCTTCGTACTCCTTGTGCACTCCTATTTGCCATTAGTTGATCTTCTTTGTCATTGTGATTTTCTGTTTCCCTCTGGGACCTTCCTCAGGTGCTCCTTGTCCATGCAGAGCCCTTCCTTTGTGCTCAAATAGGTTATTCTCTTATAATGGCCTCTGTAAGACTAACACCTCTTTCTCTCTGTTAACTCTGCAGTGTGTTGGGTTTATTTGTGTTCTTTCTGGGGACCTCCTCATTTTCTTTTCCTACATGTGAACAATTATCCTTGAAACCTGGCCTCCTTGCATTTCTAGGATTACTTTTATCACCTTCTGTAAGAATGCAATTCACTCTCCCTGTGACCTGTCTTGAAGACAGGGGTCAGGACTGTTGCCTGTAGTGGTCTGCTGTGTATTATCTTACTAATTGACCCCTCTTCTGTTTCTCACAAGGTGGTCTATCTGTGGGGTTCCTCCCTACACTTCCACCAAGCTCGATGGTTAATTTGCCCATATTCCAGGGCTCTCCTAAGAAGTTGGGCTTTTCAGGTTCCTTACAGCATCTACCATTGGTCCTTTCCAAGGACGGCAGGGCCACTGGTTGTTTTCTGTTCACGTTTATTGGTCCTTCTCAAGGGTCACAGGGACACTGATTGTTTTTTTGTACGAAAGGGTCAGTTTACATGGTGGTCTTTTACAGTATGTTGGCCTGAAGATCTAATTTACAGCATGCGATATGATATGCAAAACCACATCACGCAGATATTTGTCAAGTATTAAAGGGGTTTTGGTTTTCACTTAAAAATAGAAGCAACAAATGAGTTCTGTCTCTTACTAACACTGGCTGGGACTGTAGTGATCATATTTTTAGCAGCAGAATCACTGTAGTTATAACCTGGTATAAGGACTTGCCACATACAGTATGAGCATGAATTGGCACCCATACTAATGTAGACAATTGTAGGGTGTAGGAGAGGTATTTTAATAACTAGTAAATTGTGTTGGGTGTTATATGTACAGTGAAGGAAATAAGTATTTGATCCCCAGCTGATTTTGAATGTTTGCCCACTTACAAAGAAATGATCAGTATAAATATCAAATGGTAGGTGTATTGTAACACTGAGAGACAGAATAGCAACATAAAATTCAAAAGAAATGCATGTCTAACAAATTATGCACTGATTTGCATGTTCATGAGGGAGATAAGTATTTGATCCCCTATCATTCATCAGGATTTCTGGCTACCAGGTGTCTTTCATACAGGTAACAAGCTGAGATTAGAAGCAGTCTCTTAAAGGGAGTGCTGCTAATCTCATTTTTTTTTACTTGTATAAAAGACACCTGTCCACAGGAGCAATCAAACAATCAGATTCCAAACTCTCCAGCATGGCAAAGACCAAAGAGCTGTCCAAGGATGTCAGGGACAAGATTGTAGACCTACACAAGGCTACCAAACTATCGCCAAGCAGCTTGGTGAGAAGGTGACAACAGTTGGTGCAATCATTCGCAAATGGAAGAAACACAAAACAACTGTCAGTCTCCCTAGGTCTGGTGCACCATGCAAGATCTCACCTCGTGGAGTGTCAATGATCATGAGAACAGTGAGGAATCATCCCAGAACTACACGTGAGGATCTTGTCAATGATCTCCAGGCAGCTTGGACCACAGTCACCAAGAAAACAATTGGTAATACACTACGCCGACAAGGATTGAAATCTTGCAGTGCCAAGGTCCCTCTACTTCAGAAATCACATGTCCAGGCCCGTCTGAAGTTTGCCGCTGAACATCTGAATGATGCAGAGGAGGACTGGTTGAAAGTGTTGTGGTCAGATGAGACCAAAATCGAGCTTTTTGGCATCAACTCAACTCAACCGTGTTTGGAGGAGGAGGAATGTTGTCTATGACCCCAAGAACACCATCCCAGCTATCAAACATGGTGGTGGAAACATTCTGCTTTGGGGGTGTTTTTCTGCTAAGGGGACCGGACAACTGCACCGCATCAAAGGGAAGATGGATGGTGCAATGTACCATCAAATATTGGGTGAGAACCACCTTCCCTCAGCCAGGGCATTGAAAATGGATTGTGGATGGGTGTTCCAGCATGACAATGACCCAAAACACACGGCCAAGGCAACAAACGAGTGGCTCAAGAAGAAGCACATTAAGGTCCTGGAGTGGCCTAGCCAATCTCCAGACCCTAATCCGATTGAAAATCTGTGGAGGGAGCTGAAAGTTCAAGTTGCCAAACATCAGCCACCAAACCTTAATGACTTGGAGAGGATCAGCCAAGAGGAGTGGGCCAAAATCCCTCCTGAGATGTGTGCAAACCTGGTGGCCAACTACAGGAAATGTGTAACCTCTGTGATTGCCAACAAGGGATTTGCCACCAAGTACTAAGTCATATTTTGTGAAGGGGATCAAATACTTATTTCCCTCATGAACATGAAAATCAGTGCATAATTTGTTAGACATGCATTTCTTTTGAATTTTTTTGTTGTCCCTGACATCCTTGGACAGCTATTTGGTCTTTGCCATGGTGGAGAGTTTGGAATCTGATTGTTTGATTGCTCCTGTGGACAGGTGTCTTTTATACAAGTAACAAAATGAGATTAGCAGCACTCCCTTTAAGAGACTGCTTCTAATCTCAGCTTGTTACCTGTATGAAAGACACCTGGTAGCCAGAAATCCTGCTGAATGATAGGGGATCTATTACTTATTTCCATCATGAACATGCAAATCAGTGCATAATTTGTTAGACATGCATTTCTTTTGAATTTTTTTTGTTGCTATTCTGTCTCTCAGTGTTACAATACACCTACCATTTGATTTTTAGACTGATCATTTTCTTTGTGACTGGGCAAACATTCAAAATCAGCAGGGGATCAAATACTTATTTCCTTCACTGTAATTGTGTGCATATGAGATTCTGCTATGTTAGAACATGGAAGAGTTTGAAAAAAACAAAAATCTTCCCTTAAGATTATATTTGTATTTAACATATTTTATGCACATGTTTTTAAGTACTTGTAAAAGTCTCCCTAGTTTAAATATTTAAAAGTACTGAGCTGGGTGCTGCCATCTTGAATATGGAGTCAGCAGCCCCAGCAGACTCAGAGCTGTCACTCAAGGAACACTTAGGGTCTCCAAACTATGGCCCTCCAGGTGTTGAGGAAGTGCAAGTCCCATGAGGCTTTGCAAGACTCTGACAGCCACAGGCAAGACTCCCAAAGGCAAAGGCATGATGGGAATTGGAGGGCCATAATTTGGAGACCCCTGCTATAGTATTCCCTTTCACTCTTCCAACAGCTACATAAAAGTTTATGCAGGGAGGTTATAGGAGATGTGGAGGAGCTTGGTCAGCACAAAGAGTAAGTAGACAGTCCTAGAAGAGGGGAGGGCTATTACACACAAAAATCTGTTCTAGGGAAATAACTAGAAAATGTTTCTAGTACATTCAAAGACACATGTAAGTGAATAAAAAATAATTTCTATAAAGGAAAAACACTGCAAGTAAACATTTAAAATTCTTGACTTTTCTGCGTTTACTTGAATTTTTTTAAGTTGGTGACAGGGTCTCTTTACATTCACTTTTGAATTACAATGGTAATGGAAAACCCATTATATAAATCAGATCCATGTCCCAGTTTACCCATAATAACATTGCAATGTGTTTTTTACTTCTAGTTAAGGTTGCAGCTCTGGGAAGCACACTGCCAAGTCCGATCTCTTTGCTGCCAGCTCAGAGGCAATGAAAGTGCAGATTCTGCTGTATCCACAGACTCCTCTATGGACGAATCTTCTGAAACCTCATCTGCCAAAGACGTGCCAGCTGGGAGCCTCCGCACTGCCCTGAGTGAACTGAAGAGCCTTATACTTAGCATACTGGACACTTGTGAAGCAACGGTAACTTCAATGCTATTTAACATTTATATAGAGACCCTGTTTGTATGTATTATTAGGTGCAGTGTATGTGTAAATGTATATATTACTGAGCAAACGTTTTAGGCAGGTGTAAAAAAAATGCTGTAAATGAACAGAAGAGAAATCCAAATCAAATCAATATTTGGTGTGATCACCCTTTGCTTTCAAAACAGCATCAATTCTTCTAGGTACACTTGCAGTTTTTGAAGGAACTCAGGAAGGTACAGTAGGTTGTTCCAAACATCTTGGAAAACTAACCACAGATCTTCTGTGGATGTAGGCTGCCTCAAATACTTCTGTTTCTTCATGTAATCCCAGACACTCGATGATGTTGAGATCAGGAACCTGTGGGGGCCAAACCATCATTTCTAGGACTTTTTGTTCTTAATGCTGAAGATAGTTCTTAAACTAGTTTTCATTCTCCTCTAACTGTTCTATGAGACTGCATAACCCCTGACCCTCTGTCTGGACAATGCTGATTGGCTGTGTACTAATCACATGCACCCTCCCAAAGAAAAAAAACTCTCTAGCAATACACACTAAACTGAGCATGTGCAGAGTGACTCTTAGAGATCTGTACTATTAGCAGATGGATTGGGGACAGTAGAAGAAGGGGAGGAGCAGAGAAGACAGGATCAGACAGCATTTTTTACACAGTGCAGAGGATTAACCCCTTAGGTTCCACAGTAAGTATACCGAGTATCCTTTACTGCATATACAGACTGAATTTACTGTTGTGCGTTTAGTAACACTTTAATGACATTGGCTGTATTTTTGAGGCTGTTGTCCTGCTGGGCAAATCATATGCCTCCCTGATGGTATAGCATGATGGACGATTATCTGGCTGTATTTCTCAGCATTGATCCTGACCAAAGCTCCAACTCAGTTTGCAGAAATGCAGCCCCAAACTGACAAGGAACCTCTACCATGCTTCACTATTGCTTGCAGACACTCATTATTGTACTGCTCTCCATAACAAACTTCCTCCTGCTACAGCCAAATATTTCAAGTTTGACTCATCATGCCATTTTTCTGCATGCCAGTTCCTACTGTGCATCCAGAAAGTATTCACAGCTCTTAACATTTGCCATATTTTGTTATGTTACAGCCTTATTCCAAAATGAATTACATTTATTTTTTTCTCTCAACATTCTACAAACAATACCCCATAATGACAACATGAAAGAAGTTCGTTTTGAAATCTTTGCAATTTATTAAAAATAAAATTAATAAAACCACATGTACATTAGTATATATATGTAAAGGGAGGGAGGTGCAGCGCTATATATGCAGACAAATGATGAATAAACACCGATAATGCACAATAATAAACGGTGACTGTAAGTTAATAACGCCACTAAATGGTGGCTAAGGTGAGAAAAGTAAACAGTCCAATGAAGGAGTGCTCTTAAGATCCAGGGTGATCTTCAGACGTCCAGTAAAAGGACCATCGGGTGATAAAATATAAAGACTGCGCACTCACCAGATACGCAATCTTTATGCGCATTTGTGTAAATATCACTGGACCTCCTGTGTCATCATCCTGGTCTGGTCAGATCTGGTCAGCATATCCCTCATGGCCTGGTACCCGGATGAATGCAGCTTTTCTGTAGATTTGGCCGGCTCCCACCAGAACTCAAATAAATAGAAAGGGCCACATAGTGTAATATCCTTAGGTATCTTTATTAGGGGCACAGGATAGCAGGAAATCCAACACACAAAAAATGGTACTGACCCAGGAGTAAATCAAAGATGGCCGCCGGGGCCCCTCGTGGCGCCGGCGGTGATGCGTCCAACCTGCTGTAGCCTTCCCTGACGCGTTTCGAGCGAAGGCTCGTAGTCATAGGGGTGCAGCTTACTAAGCCCCTTCTATTTCTATTTATTTGAGTTCTGGTGGGAGCCGGCCAAATCTACAGAAAAGCTGCATTCATCCGGGTACCCAGGCCATGAGGGATATGCTGACCAGATCTGACCAGACCAGGATGATGACACAGGAGGTCCAGTGATATTTACACAAATGCGCATAAAGATTGCGTATCTGGTGAGTGCGCAGTCTTTATATTTTATCACCCGATGGTCCTTTTACTGGACGTCTGAAGATCACCCTGGATCTTAAGAGCACTCCTTCATTGGACTGTTTACTTTTCTCACCTTAGCCACCATTTAGTGGCGTTATTAACTTACAGTCACCGTTTATTATTGTGCATTATCGGTGTTTATTCATCATTTGTCTGCATATATAGCGCTGCACCTCCCTCCCTTTACATATATATGCTATTGAAGGTTTGATACGGTGCCTTTTCTGGTGTACAGCTGCTGCTTAGTATATATTGTCACATAAGCGCTCACTTATCTTCTGTTTCTCCTGACATGTACATTAGTATTCACAGCCTTTGCCATGACACTCAAAATTGAGCTCTGGTGCATCCTGTTCCCACTGATCATCCTTGAGATGTTTTCACAACTTGATTGGAGTTCACCTGTGGGAAATTCAGTTTATTGGACATGATTATGAAAGGTATCAATCTGTCTATATAAGGTCCCACAGTTAACAGTGCATGTCAGGGCACACACCAAGCCTTGAAGTCCAAGGAATTGTCCATAGACCTCCGAGACAGGATTGTATCAAGGTACAGATCTGGGGAAGGGTACAGAAAAATTTCTGCAGCACTGAAGGTCCCATTGGATTGGAGTGGCCTCCATCATCCATAAATGGAAGAAGTTTGGAACCACCAGGAACCTTCCTAGAGCGGGCTACCCGGCCAAAATGAGTGATCGAGGGAGAAAGGGCCTTAGCCAGGGAGGTAACCAAGCACCCAATGGTCACTCTGAAAGAGCTCCAGCGTTTCTCTGTGGAGAGAGGAGAACCTTCCAGAACAACCATCTCTGCAGCACTCCACCAATCAGGCCTGTATAGTAGAGTGGCCAGATAGAAGCCACTCCTCAGTAAAAGGCAAATGGCAGCCCGTCTGGAGTTTGCCAAAAGGTACCTGAGGGACTCTCAGACCATGAGAAACAAAACTCTCTGGTCTGATGAAATAAAGACTTAACTCTTTCGCCTGAATGCCAAGCCTCATGTCTGGAGGAAACCAGGCACTGCTCACCACCTGGCCAATACCATCTCTACAGATGAAGCATCATGCTGTGGGGATTTTTTTCAGCGGGAGGAACTGGGAGACTAGTCAGGATCGAAGAAGAAATGAATGCAGCAATGTACAGAGATATCCTTGATGAAAGGCTATTTTAGAGCGCCCTGGTCCTTAGACTGGGGTGACGGTTCATCTTTCAACAGGACAACCCTAAGCACACAGCCCACATAACAAAGGGGTGGCTACAGGCCAACTCTGTGAATGTCCTGGAGTGACCCAGCCAGAGTCCAGACTTGAATATCTCTGGAGAGATCTGAAAATGGCTGTGCTCCGACTCTCCCCATCCAACCTGATGGAACTTGAGAGGTACTGCAAAGAAGAATGGAAGAAATTGCCCAAAAATAGGTGTGCCAAGCTTGTAGCATCATACGCAAAACGACTTGAGGCTGTAATTGGTGCTAAAGGTGCTTCAACAAAGTATTTAGCAAAGGCTGTGAATACTTTTGTGCATGTGCTTTTTTTTATTTTTAAAAAATTGCAAAGATTTAAAAACTAACTTCTTTCACGTTGTCATTATGGGATATTGTTTGTAGAATGTTGAGGAAAAAAATGAATTTAATCCATTTTGGAATAAGGCTGTAACATAACAAAATGTGGCAAAAGTCAAGCGCTGTGAATACTTTCTGGATGCACTGTATGTTTTCATGCATAGTTGAGTCACTTAGCCTAGTTTCCACATCAGAGCAATGGCTTTTTGGCCACAATTCTTCCATGGAGAGCACTTCTGGTCAGACCTTTCCAAGACAGTACATGGGTATACCTGGGTCCTACTGGTTTCCACCAGTTCTGTACTAATGGCACTGCTGGACACCTTCCAATACTGAAGGGAAGTAGCATGCTGTGTATTTCATCTGCTACATTGTTTTTTTGGCCGACCACTGCATGTATGGTCCTCAACGTTGACTGTTTCTTTGTTCTTCTTCAAACAGCTTGAACAGCACATCTTAAAACCCGTATATGCTTTGAAAACTTTGCCTGAAGGCGACCTTGCTTTTGCAGTATAACTACCTTGTGTCTTGTTGCTGTGCTCAGTCTTACCATGGTGTATGACCTGTGACATGAAACTGTCTTCCACAAACTCACCTTAGAAGCAGAGTTTGGCTGTTCCTCCCCCAGTTTTAAGCCTACACAGCTGTTTCTGTTTCAGAAAATGACTGTATTTCAACCTACATATGAAATTGATGATCATTAGCACCTGTTCAGTATAATTGGTTAATTATACACCTGACTCTAATCCTACAAAATCCCTGGCTTTTTGCAAGTGTACAGAGTGCTCAAGTGTAAGGCAAGCCATAGATTTTGCAATCTTTTTTCCGTACATCACGGGTGGATGAAAGAAAATTGCTTAATTAACCCAGCAACACACTCTGTGTTGATGGGGGATCCCTCCTGCAGCACTATTGTGATAACTGCTGGCTGCTATAGCCTGCCCATAGATGGATCGAATCTTGGCTGGTCCCTGCTGAGTGGATGGCTTAATAATTGATGCTGGTTTGAAGTTCTAAAGGGTAGTCACTCCAAACAATGATTTGATTAAATTATTCTTCTGTTCACTCACTTTGCATTTTGTAAATTGATTAAAATAAACAATTACAATATATACAGTGCCTTGAAAAAGTATTCATACCCCTTAAAAGTTTCCACATTTTGTCATGTTACAACCTAAACCGTAAATGTATTTTATTGGGATTTTATGTGATGAGCAACACAAAGTGGCACATAATTGTGAAGTGGAAGGAAAATGATAAATGGTTTTCAAATTTTTTTTACCAATAAATATTTGAAAAGTGTGCTGTGCATTTGAATTCAGCCCTTTTGATATTCTTAACTAAA